ATACTGAACCCCAAATTGCTCCCGAATGCTGTGCATCGGTGTGTGAATGTGTATGAATGAGTTAGTTTCTGTTTGATGGACTTCGCCATCACTGAGTGAATGTGTGTGAAAGGGTGAATGTAGCACGTAGTGTGAAAGCGCTTTGAGTGGTCTAAGGTCTAAGCGACTAGAAAGTCGCTATACAAGTACAGGTCCATTTACCATTTACCATATATAACTGTACATATTAGTCTATGTTTATTTTGTTGAACTGGCAACCAAAGGCATATAGTATATTTTGCGGCCCGTAGCCAAACTAGGGAAGTCAGTCCATAACTTTGGTCCTGACTGTGGTTGCCATAGTGACTAGCGCTGAGTGACGATGAACTGCCAGTGACAACCATCAGCTAATAGTCCATGGTGGCTGCTGTGCACAACATCTTTTCGCTACTGTTGTGTTTATGATGGAAACAATAGAGGTGCACCTTCATGCTGATGATATTAGGCTGATCTGTGTTCTGTTGCTCAGTGCATTCTGCCCAATGAAGCAGAAATGCACAAAATGCAAATAACTATAGAAAATATTAAATACAAACTAAATACAGACACAAGGCTTTCACCCCACATGCTCAAACCCTGAAATGCACCCAGTTCCACTACATGCAAAACCACAGTCAATACTACAATTCCAGCCAACACATTTAATCAATAACTATTAAAAATGTGCTAAATCAGTGTCAAAGCAGATTGAAAGGAGGGCTGTTCAATTAGAGCAGAGGGTGAAGCAGTGAATAGATTAATTTATTCCTCATGTATACACACAATGCTAATAATAATGACAGATAGGAGCCCTTGTATATTACATAAGCTTGACAGCAACCCAAACACCCTGCATGTCACTTACCAGCCACATGTACAAATGCTGCCAGGTCCCTGCTGCCGTCTCTTACCACTGCATATGAATTCCAATGTGTATGTGTATTGATGAGTGTTTGACAGGACAGTCTTCTAACACACCATCCAGCCCTCAGTCAGTGCCATGGTAAATGAATTAACAATAAATCCTTCAGAAGAAGAGCTGAGCAAGCGGCTGGGTGCAGGACAATATCAGGCAATCTGTCCTCAGATAGGAATGGAAGAAGAAAGAAAGGGAGCCTACAGAGCATGCCTGGCAGAAAATCCCTGGGTATTATAACATCACATGACCACCCATCCACCGTCAGTCACAGAGCGAGCAGAAGAGATGGGAGCAAGAAGAGAAAACAGCAGAGAGAGGGCCAGAGTGAATGGGGGTGGAGGGTTGCAACGTCACAGTGCTGCTCAGTTTCCCCGTTTCCTTACAGTGACAGAGACACAGAGAAGAGGCATTAGCCAATAAGACATAAGAATTGTCTGCTGCTCCTCCCTGTGCAGAAAAGCCAATTCTAACAGAGGCAAACATGGAGAATGAGACACAAAAGAAAATCCCATTGAGAGAAGCAAGAGATCCTGTCCAGAAAAAGGAAACTATTAATAACCTGCTCTGATTTATATAAACACTGTAAAAATAATAAAGGAAAGGACATACAAAGGAGGAAAATCTCATGAAGCTTATAATTATAATTGTCACATCTATTTGTCACATGGCAAAAAAATACAAAATAAATATTAGATTTTGTATTTAGGAATTGAAAATCTAGATGCAGAAAGGTAGTTGTATGCACATCTGATTCTAATTAGAACAGATCTAGGATAGCATGAACCCAAAAGTAGTATTTAAAACACATCCGTTTTGTATTCTATCCTTTGTCATGTAAGCCAATGGATTGAAATGTTGTTGTAATTATTATATTATTACCTTAATGATAGGACTGTTCCCAAATTTAACACTGTTACCTGTTGTCCCAAGGAAACCAAAACAAAGGATAAACTAAGGTTGAAATCAAACAGTTCTCACAAAGTTAAATCTTTCATTACATTTTTATATTTATAAGCAGGACATTTTATTGTTAATTTTAGTATAGGCTTTCTTTCACTAATAAAAGTGGGAAAATACATGGATTTGGTCATGCACTTCATTTTTAGGTTCAAGTTACGTTTTAATTTGTCTTTCAAAAATAAAACAATGCAAGGAAACAATTCAAATATGAACAGGTATTAGATGGGAGTTAATTGTAAACATTTTTGATACATAAATCTAATACCTGAGGTACTGAACTAGTCTAAATTGTATTAGTTACTCTTGTGTTTAACAACTGATTAACATCTAAGCAAGCAAGTACACAGGTCTGTTGTTCTGTAAGATCTATTTTTTGTTTGTTTGTTAATCAAAGTATGAGGGTTTAGACTAAAAATGAACACTGGAGGCACTGGAGGCAAAACTATACTTGCATCAGAAATAATTTACAGGGGTATAGTAAATACATATTGATAATAAATATTGTCTCCTGATAGTTTTGTTCCAATTTATAGTATAGTGTTATAGTATACTATAGTTATAGTGCAGTAATAATAACTATGTAAACAAATGTAGTGATGATGTACGTTTAACATTTAATCTGTGTGGATTTAATATTTATATTTTTATTTAATATGTGTTTTTTTCATAAAGACTGAGCTTTATTTCATGATCTCATCATCTCATCACTGTTTCCCCTG